GTTCTTGGAAACCTGATGGGGCAGCTCTACTCCAGGAAAGTCGACTTCAACAGAAATCTTTTCTTTTTAAAGATTGTATGTGATAAACTAGCCCCTTCATTCCAGTCTTCGACTTCACGTCCCACACTAACTCCAGAACAGGATGCTACTTATTTAGCTGAGTAGGTTCTGCTGCAGAGCAAACCAATGGGACTGACCTACGGGGCTACCAAGCCTGTGAATTGTTCAGGAGCAGGAAGTCTTATCTTTCTGCTGAGGAGTGCCGGCTGGTTCTAACCCAACGCTCAACCCATTATGCTACCAGGGCTCCTTACACTCAAGACCAAACTCACTGCCACTGAGTCGATTCCAACTCACAGAGACTCTATAGGACAAGGCAGAACTGCCAATGCTGTGACACTTGCCGGAAGCAGACCGTCACATCTTGTTCCAGCAGAGCGGCTGGTGGGTTCAAACCGCTGACCTTTTGCTTAGCAGTGGAACGCTTACCATTGTACCATCAGGGTGCTCATATAGCATGCTGCACCTGGCAGACGGCTTAAAATTCTAACTACATCCCTGGCATTCATTATAGGGCAAAATAAGAAACTTGCTATACAGAGTACTTCTTTACCTATATGAAAATCAGATGCACATGATATACACGGAGGAAGGGTATTTATGGCAACTGTTGATTCTGTCTGAAGATCCTGTCTTCAGACTTATCTGAAAGAACCGAGGGCTTGAACCTACCATGAGGTCAGCTGAAGAAAGATGTGGCAGTCAGCTTCCATAAAAGATTATGGCCTTGGGGGCGTTTCTTCTCTGCTCTGAAGGGTTGCTACGGGTTGGACTCTGGTTTAGATCTGTTCCCCATTTATTCAGGCAAAATGCTCAGCAGTGCTGACTGTCCCGGGCACCTCATGCTGTGGGCCAGGCCACACCCACCACCATCTAGTCAACTCCCATTCACAGGGACCCCATACAGGGTAAATCTTTAAGGGAGCAGATAGTCTCATCTGTCTCCTAAAGGTGGTGGCTTTGAACTGCTGACCTTTGGGTTAGCAGTCCAGGATTTACCTGGCAGCGCCACCAGGGCTTTCTGTGAGACGAGGAGTTTGTAAACCCTGTCATCTTTCTAGTCACAACAGAGGACCTACCAAACTCACTGTCATCCAGTCGAGTCCCACACAGAGCCACCCTATAGCATAGGTAGAACTGTCCCTGCGAGTGTCTGAGACAAACTCTTTATGGGAGTGGAAAGCTCCGTCTTTCTCCTGTGGAGCAGGTGGTGATTTTGAACTACTGACCTTGTGGTTAGCAGCCCAACACATAACCACTGCCTCCCTGGGGCTCAATGATAAATGTTAAGAGACTCAGTATATCTCCTATTGTATGGTTTCAATTAATGTTACCGAACAATGCCAGGTCCTGCTTGTTAGGTGGATGGTGGTAAGAGAACGGGGGTTTTGTAGGCAAGTGCAGAGATGATGGATGTGTTCTTGTCAGAAATAAAAAGGACCCTGAAAGCACTGTGGGGCAAGCTGTTGAACTGCCAACCGTGAGGTTGGCATTTCAAACCCACCAGTCACTCCAGCGAAGATTTACAGACGCGGGTTCCCTATACAGGGTCACTGTCGATGGCAATGGGTCTGCTTTGGCGTCGGAAATAAAAACATGTTGCAAGGCCGTTAACAAGGTATACCAAGTAGTTAGTACAGTGTCTAGCACATTAAGTAGACAAATCGCTATTATTTTTGTCAATTGTGCTGTAGTTTAACTTTTACTCAAAATCAACTTATTAAAATCTTTTACAATGTGTCCCATCATAATTTCTTAGTAGAAATAAGGATTTGATAGACTGGCTTGTATAAAACAAGACCGTTGAACTGCTCCTCCGTTTGCCCTGACTTCTGTTAAGCAAGAATTTTAAATGAAAGAAATACCACTCCCAACTTCATGCAGTCAGGTTATAGTATACAAAGCATTTTGAAGCAAGGAAAGAAGTGACCTAATGCTTTTCTTCGTTCCCTTCAAACTGTGTATTTGCTTTCATTTTGGGGGGGAAGGGTGAGGGAGAGGGGAGTGTTGGGGGGAGTATACAGCAAGTGTTTTGTTTGTGAGGGGAAAAAAAGGAATATTCTTAAGTCCCTCATTTAAAACAAAACCTCCAGCTCTCGGTGGTGCTTTTGATGTAGCCCCATGACACACATTTTTCTACCTTTCTTGTCACCTGTCCCAGATCCATATTGAGAATGAAGTGATACGTGAACATGGTTGACAGGAGTTATTGCTTGTCAAAATTTTCACATAAAACAAATCCAGCAGCCTGCAATTTCCAAACTGCCTAAAACTCCCTGAATCTCAATATGAAAGTGGAAAGGACCACACGCTGAAGCAGGAGAGACAGAAAATACTCACCAAATTTTGTTCTCTAGCGCGCCAGTGACTTCAAAGATCTGCGAATTACGTTAGGGTGAATGGAGGAAAAGCTCACTTCGAATACATTGTCTTCGAAACTACACAGGCAAGTTTTAAAGCAATTTTGCCTAATGAAAGTCTTTTTTTTTTTTTTTTTTACTCCAAGGCTTAATATTTTAATGTGTGTTACCTGGTACATGAACTTGAGATACAAACTGTTAAAAATATCATGTCTTTCTACAAGAAATGCCTACTAGTCAAGAAATTGTATCAATTTTGATGTGTTTTATGGCTTCAGCATTTGGAATCACTGAGTCTTACCTGACCGACACTGGTGTATAAAACCCCAGCTCCTTGCTGTTCTGAATCACAGGAACCACATCAAGACAGAATGCAAGTGAACGGCCATGTGTAGCAGCTGAGCACTTTCTGAATGTGCTACTGGGGCTCCTACATATGCCACCATACAATAAATGAACCACCGGACAATGTCCAAATCACTGGAATGTAAGTCTGTGGGGGAAGGGACCTCTCACTGCTGTACAGATTCCATACCAGCAACTGAAAGACACCACCTTCATGCTGGTCCTCTGAACCCGCATTTACTGCCACCGAGTAAATGTTGACTCATACCAACACTATTAGGGGAGAACTGTCCTGTAAACTCTTTAACCTGAGTAGAAAGGCCCTTCTTTCTCCCAAGGAGCAGGGTGGCTTCAAACTACAGACCTTGTGGATTGCAGCCCAATCCATAACCACCACTCCCCACGCCCCCAGGGTTCCTTCCTCAAACACTGTGCTCATTAAATACTTGTTACTGAATGAACTGGGTTATGTCCAGCTTAAAACACAAAGCAGTGTATTCTAATAACATTTTAGATCCTTTATCAGAACCTTAACACCTTGGTGACTATTCAAGTATGGTTGACCATCAAAACTAAATTACTTTTCACTAATCTTAAAAAAATATTCTTAATCCAATCTTTTCAGAAAATTTACCTGAGTTACCTGGAAATTTATTGCATCTAAAGTTTGATGGTGACAAATACTTACCTGTTTTTTTAAGCTGCTGACTGGAATTAAATTTAAAACGTAATTAAACTAAAAATTTACTTTTGTAAGGTTCCACATTTTAAAAGAAGAAATGGTTAGTGTATTGTCCCTATTAGAGCATCTATTCACTTAAGTAATGGGACAAATATCCAACATTTAAATAACTAAAAACCATTCTTAACTTACATAACCTCATTTATTTCTCTAAACCACTTTTTATGAAATAGACATGTTAGAAGTGAAGAATTATGGATTGAGAGGTAAATACTTTGAGAGTGAATCCCTCCAGGTCGAAGAATTCCAACAGAGCTGACTCTCTTTCCATTACATAATTGGCTGCATCAAAATGGAATGAAACATGAAGAAATCCAGTATCAGCAACTGAGTTAACTGGGTCTTCACTCCCATAACTTAATTTTTATTATTAGTTCCAATTAAAACAGGAGAAACCAGCAAAAACCTACCATTTTACAAAAGGTTCTTTAAATGTTTATTGCTACTGAATATTTATCAAGTATTATTTTAATATTCTTATCACATAGTGAATCCCCCCACCCTTATTTGCCTAGATAAAGCTCATCAAATTTAAATAATCTGAATTTTTCAAAGTTCTGGAGTTGTGCGGGAAGTACAAACCTTTGCGGGTAGTGATACGCAGAAAGTGCAAATGTAAATGTATGATGTAAAGCTCTAATTTTCTACCAAATAGCTTTCCATACCGGAAGCTGTTAACAGGAAACCAAAGAAGCTTTACTTGGCATAAATACAAATTTTCGTTTTTCATTAGTTGTTTATCAAGTAAAGTAAATTATTATTTTACTTTACAACAAAAATATACTATGTATGTCCTTAAGTTCTGCAGTGAGGTTATTCAATCTTCCTTTGTGGTACCTTCATAAAATAGGTAAAACAGGCTACAGATAGAAATCAATATGATCATGTTTAGACTTAAATTGAGTCATGTATTTATGTCTTAGAAAAAACACATTGACCCTTTAAGTGTGGGCTTAAATAAAAAATCCCCTATCACCATGCTAAATGTTAGTCCAAATTAGGGACAACAACATTGTGAAGGGCCAGAAAATGCTTTATGGGTCATGTGGTCTGTCCCAGTCAACTCTGCTATTGTACAGAAGCAGCCATAGAAAACACACATAAGCAAACCACCATAGCTGTGCTCCAATAAAATTTACTTAGGGACACTAAAATTTGAATTTCCAATTGCTTTCCTGTGGGCCACAAAGTTGTTTCCCCTACCATTAAAACAATGTAAAGGACCATTCTTAGCTCACAGAACTTACAGAATCAGGTGGTGAGTCAGATCAGACTACCTGTGGGCTATACTTTTTCACACTTTGGTCTAAATTTTATATTCTTTTTGACTTTCCTTCGTTGATGGCAATTAGGTAACTCCTACTTTATTACTATTGTCACCCAAGGACAATTAATACAGAATTTACTTAAGGCTTTGTTTAAAATGCTGGTGTATATATTTTAAGATCAAAATTTTAAGAATTGCTAATGTCAAATTAAATATACTGCTAGAGTGAACTGGCCAAGTTTCATTTATTTCTTAACATCACATCTATACAGCTCTCATACATACAAAAGAAACGCACCATAGTTTCACAAGCGCATCTGGCTGCATTTCTCATTATAATACAAGTGCAAGTTTACTCGGAAATGTACATTTATACAGCTTTTCTACATTAAAGACTGCTACACTGTAACTTGTGATAGCAAAAGCGTGACATGACGTCCCATGACTAGACCATTTTCATTTGGTTTAATATAAAATGTACTCAATCATTTAAAAATTGCCGACTGGGGAAGAGGCCAGTATATAAAATATTTGTCATGTAAAATTTAATCATTTACCTTTGTAAAAAATAATCTTTTAACTCTAAACCTTTGTTACTGAATTGTTAGATGGATATACATTATGGTAGCAAGAAACAAATTTGCTATGAGCGGTCGTTTTAGCCACTAATTAAAAAAAATTTAAATAAAAAATAAACCAGTATTAATAAAGTAATAACATTATTTTTATTAAAATATTAGCTAAACGAATCTTCTCTCCACATTTTAATATTAGGTTGTTTCCAAAGTCACCAAAAGAGAAAAAAATACCAGTCTGAGACTCACACAAGTGTTTAACTCAAACCTCCATTTGTGGTTTCTAAAATGCTGATCCAGACCACTGTCTTCTTACACGTGTGTACCCATGAAAACAAAAGGAAACTCTCCCTGCCATCCCGATGAAAGAAATGGCTCCTTTTCTAACATCCTTTAAAAATATACATTTTACAATCCTCACACCTCCACAAAGGTGACAATGTAATAAATACACTTTTTCTTTTTACTCCTTCCTCACCATTCAAAGAAATGTCCACAAACTACCTGTTGTAAGCTCTTTCTTTTTTGGATTTCTCCAGGGCTTTGTCCATGGTTTTCTCATTTTCCCCTCTGCACTTGGGGCAGTACCACTTGCCCTTTGGTTTATGGTTAAGTCCCACGCACGAGAAATGGAACCACTCGATGGGGCACTCGTCATTGTCACAGCCGATCATCTCTCCATAGGAGACCTGATTGCACAGACAGTACGTTGGCTCGTTCGGGTCGATGGGAAGGTCTGCAGGAGAGGCTTCCCGCTCGGCTTTGGCCTTAGAGCGCTTCTTCTTCTTTGACGTTTTTGCTTTCTTCTCTTTCGGCATTGCCGGGGTGATGTCATCGGGATCGTGATTATTGGACGCATTCTCGCGGTTCTCGTTGTTGCGCTGGCGTCGGGATCGCTTATTGTTGGGCTTTTCGGCTTGAGTGATTGTCTCATTCTTTGATTTATCTTGGCTGGTTTTGCCACTGTTGCCCGTGGTGTCGTTGACCTCTTGATGAGCCTCAAAGAGTTCCACATGACTGTCCACTTGTCTGGTCCGGTTCTCAACCAGCTCTACCATCTGACTCACAATCTGAATCTTTTCATCGCCCAGTTCCTGGCTCTGAATCAGGGCTCTCTGAATGCAATGCAGAACTCTCCTCTTCTGGGTACCATCAGTCTCATGCTTAAATCTCTCATAATATTCATCCAATTCTTTTAGAATTTCTGCAAAGAAAAAAATGTTAAGTATTACACTCATACTACAAACACTAATGAGGAAAAGCTTGCTGATTAAATAAGCCTTTTATTTAACTCTCCATTGTGCATGGTTGGCCCAGTATTAAGATCCTGCAACTTGTAGGTCTCTTTAGCAGACTTATTTTTTCTCCCCTGTCAAAAAATTAAAAACACACACACCAAAAAACCCCAAACAAAACCCCCCAAAACTCTAGAACTAATTACAGATGCCAATACAGTTTTCATTTAGCAAAGTGCCCAAGACACTGTGTACAATTTAGAGTTGTGGGTGACAAACACTTCTGTGACAGGTATCAAATTATAGATAAACTGCATAGTCCCCTTCTTTTTTTAAAACTTATGCCTATATTTCCATCATTTTCATTCTAATACTTTTCTAAGAATGTTAAGGCCTATTACACTAGAGAAGTTACATACATTTATATAATGGCCCTAACTGGTTTGAAGACCAGGATTAGCAGGTCAGGCTCTAGACTCCTTAGAGGTAACAGACTTTTAGTCCTCTACCGTTTTATTTCTCTGTATTACTGAAAACAAGGCAATAAACGACACAACCTCAAAAAACAAAAACAAAAAACCAAAGCATAAAACAAATTCAACTCACTGCCATCAAGTCACTTCTGAATTACAGTGACCTAGCCTTGCTTTAAATTAAATGTGGCAGATTTATTTTCCATTTACAGCTTTAAGCAGTAACAACTTTCTATCTATAAATGACAAAAGATTTTAAAACCTGATCAGAGAACAGAACAGGATGGCGTGTGCATGCCTCTCCTCTGTGCTGTTGTTGGCTCTGAGAGGTTTACAGATGAAACTGCTCACAGAAAGTCTGCACTATGTTAGTTCACAGCCACGCTCCTCCAACCCACATGATTTCCTTATAAAACCCAATCATCAAACCTTGCACCAATTTGAAGCCAGCATATGTGGTTTTAAAGTATAATCAGGCAATTTCTCAAGAAATAAATGTTAAATGAGCTAGTTGAAAAGAGGCAAGTATTACTGCCAAAAGCCCATATAAATACACACATGAAGATTTCCAGAATTATTTTTTCCAAATACTTTATATCATCGTGTATAAGCCAAGTTTTTCAGCACATTTTTATGCCAGTTTTGTAGTAAAATTAGGTACCTCAGCTGATACTCGGGGTAGCTTATACTCGAGTATATACATTAGTAATCATTAAGTAAAATGGTATCCTATTTTTCTCTTGAAATTCTTGTAAAGTCTCTTAAAATAATACAATCATACTCTCTAATTAGGGAGGTATGTGGGTACAGGCGGTGGTGGTAGAACATGTCATAAAATCTAACCAGCACACTCCCCAAATCTTATCTGTAAGTAGTTGTAAGCACAGACAAGTACCCATCACATAAAATGAGAACCCTAAACGCTGCCACTGAGTCAATTCAGACCCACAGTGACTGCTCCATAGGGCTTCAGATAACACAAAGCTCTAAGGGAGCAGTCGCATCTTCCTCTCAGGGAGTGGCGGTGGGTTCAGGGTCCTGGCCTTGTGCTTGTCATTATCAGCCCAACTGGTGACCTGAATAAAATCTGGGCAACATTCAAGTTTACATAGATAATAAACACTACCCCATGATATCTTCCTCTATTCTTGAACTGAAGATAGGTCCTGGACGAGAAACAGTGTAGGCTGCCAGACACTAGAAATGTTGAACTTCCAATGAGGCAACTAATCCCGCAAATAAATGGTGGTGCTCAATCCATCCAAGTTACATCTTATGGATGGGACAGTAAAAATCTGTGCCATTCATTGTGAGTTACAAACTGCAAATGGTTAAGTAATCTAACTTCTACAAACAATGCTGGCATTTCTTAGAAATTGAGCAGGATTCTATCATATTGATAACTTAAAATCTGCAGCTTTTCTATCACAAGTAAACTTAAATCCATGTTTAAGGTTTCATTCTGAAAGAGGACGCAAAATCTCACCCCAAATTACAAAAAGTCGTTCTGCACCTACATAATCGTATATATTTTAGATTTTCCAAGCAAATGAGTCTATCAATAAACCACTGTAAGTATAGGTATCTCTGATCAGAAAAAATCCTACCAATGTTAAATAGGCAAGGTATCTCCAGGTACATCCACCAGTGACACCCTGCCTCTTCAACCCCACCCTTCAGCTCCACTTCAAATTGCTGGTGACCCTTTCTTACAAGGGATCCATACCAACATTACCTATGAATGCCATGGTATCATGCAAAGAACCCACATAGCATTCTCCTAAGGGCGTGACTGCAGCAAACACAAGTGGCTAGCCCAGTTCTCATGCTACTCAGTCTTCCGTAGACAGAGGTTTGCACCCAAGTTCCTTATAAAAACAGGATTCCCTTAGGGTAGGTGGCTACTTTCCTTGTAATACTTGAAAAATAGTCTAAACAACTTCTAACGCAATTTATAATTGTCAAACTAACCAGAACCCATTCTTAAGATTTAATTGTCAAAGAGTCTTAGCAGCCCAATGGTTAAGAACATAGCTGGAACTTCTGCTCAGTAGCTTTATGGAGCAGTAGAGACTAGAGCCACAGCAAGTTATTCCATTATGAGTTGGCCTGTTAAACTCAGTTTGACTAGCAAGATAGAAGAGGGCTTTCAAAATGCCCATGGAAAATGAAATGAAAAGAGAATGAACTTTTATCTATGAATTTAAAAAATCCCCTCAGTTACATCAAAAGCTTAAATATTTAGTACTACTGTGCAGTCTTTCAACATTTGCAGTTAAGCCGTAACCAAATTTATTATCTTGATGAACACGCATCTGCTCGCTGGATATTTCAGCTTTATAGTTTATTTTCCATTGCATTCCCTCAGAGTAGAGGATGGTAGGATGGTTGGAATTTTCTCTAAATACATCTTCATCAATTATCTACTGAGAAGATATTTTTGGTTCTGGGGCAGCAACACTGACTTCTTCACATTAGAGAAGGAATAATCAAGTAGCTTTATGGGGTATATGGATGTGGCTATTAGAGAGACTTTCTAGTCATTTTGAAAGCTCGCATTAAGTACTACTACTGAACAGGCTAGGGAAAGACTGACTTCTAGGCAGGCTGGCAAATGCATAAGACTGGGAGGGGGTGGGGGTAGGGTCTGTTTTCCTCACTCCCACCTTGCTTTTTAATTCATAAAACTATTAGAATTTTCTGTGATCCTCAAAATCTAAATTCAGTGCTCCTGAGTCCATTCTGACTTATAAACCCCCTGCCACTCTCTTAATGATTGAGATCTAACCCGTGTTTGGGGCTCTGGGATTTACAAATTCAAGTTCAGGGGGTGAAACCTGGGACAGGTTTCGATTTCAAAGTGGGGATTTACACTGGCCAAGGAGGGCTTCTTGTGGATTTCTGAAATCTTTGCCGGAGTAAACAGTCACATCTTTGTCCCGCGGAGTGGCTGCTGGGTTCTAACCTCTGATCCTGGGGTTAGCAGCACACCTGGGAAAACCAAACTCACTAAAGTCAAATCGATGGCTACTCATAGCGACACCATAGGGCAGGCGGAACTAACTGCCCCAGTGGGTTTCCGAGACAGTAGAAGGCCTCCTCATTCTCCCAACCACAAGTGCAGAAATGCAGAGGCCAGGCAGGACCACAGGCCCTGCTCCCTCCCCAGAGTCGCCCCGGGGGGCGGGGGTGTCACTCACGTTTGCAGGAGGCACCTGAGCCTGACCACCACACGGCCGCCAGGAGGAGCCCCGCTCCACGCGCCACCCAGGTCAGTCAGTCCACCTCTCCGGGAGGCCGAGCTCTCTCGCGGTCGGGAGGAAGGCCAGGCCAAACGACTGGAGGGGATGGACATCCCCGTGGGCCAGGGGCCCGGGTCGTGCGGGCTCGCTCCCTCTGGGAGGGTGACTCCAGTCGCTCCATCAACCTCGCCCGGGGCTCGGGTACTCTAGCTCCGAGCCGCCAGCCTGCTCCGGTCACCCGCATTGTTCCGCGACCGGAAGTGGCCACGACTGTCCAGCCCAGAGGAGGAATCAAGGCGGCGCCGGACCCGAAGCAACCCCACCAATGGGGAGCAGGCGTGGCTGGGCAGTGAGCCCCGCCTCGGGGGGTACCGCCTATGGGAATCGCCAAGCGGGAAGGCGGAGGGATCGGTACCGGCCCCGGTGCAGGCGACGCTCCAATCACAGCCCAAGGCCTAAGAACACGACCCTCCCCAGGAACGCTAAGTGCCAATCCGAGGCCGGAGGCCGGCCGACCAGAAAACATTCAAATAAACTCGACCTCCCTTCTCCCCGCTTCCTCCTCGCAGCCCTCTCCGCCCCTCTCCACCAGAGAAAAAAGCAAGCAGCGGAAACCGAGACTGGTGCCTGTCACTGCGCACGGCCCACCCTCCTCCGAGTCGAAGACCAATTGCTCTGGAGCGAAGTGTAAGGACATTCCATGGGGAACGCCAGGGCCAATCACAAGGAGGCTGAGGCGGGGACGGTCCGCAGTATGCTAATGAAGCCCTTATAAAAAACGCTGCGAAACCGCCTCTTCGGCAGAGCGCGCAGGGGCGCCTTCCGCAAAAGGGAGCTCTCCGTAATTGTGGGCGAACGCTGCCTTTCCACCGCCCCCACCCCTTTTCCTTTTCCTTGCTGCGCAGCCCTGTAAACATTAGTAAACTCCAAGAGATGGTCCACGTTCAAAACTGGACTCCTAATGTTTTGCCTGACCTCGGAGAAAAGTTTCCCCAACAGCTAACGATTCCCAGCGGACATTAACCCTCAACCTCCTCTCTGACACTCTTCTTCGCGGGCAGGTCTGCAGAGGACCCACAGGTTCTCTCACCTGCCGTATCCATTCCTTCATTACAACAATCTCTCCCCCCACCCCCCTCATCTTCCGGAGCACAACACAGATCGCCCGATTTCCCTGCCTTCACTCCACCCCCCTCCCTCCCCCACTGCAAACACATCGAATCAAGCCCTCATCCTCAGCAAACTATGGCCAGCAGCCTCTCTCCTTAGCACATTGGGGCTC